CTCGCCCGCCGGCCCACCTCCGCTGCCGCCCTCCGACTCAGCCGCTGGCCACAGCGCACCCACCTCCGAGCGACTCACTAGGCGCTCGCGGGCTGCAAGCTGGCGAGCTGCTCCTCCGCCGCCGCGGCCGCGCGGTAGACCCGCCTCCCACCCCGGGCCGCGAGCCCCGCCGATTCGCCGGCGCAGCCCCGGGGCTGGCACCCTGCCGCCCGCTGATTGGCGCCCCCAGACGCCCGTTAGGGCGCGAGGCACGCTGGCCGAGCGCAGCGCGGGGCGCGCACGGAAGACGAAGGGAGCGGAGGAGGGAAGGAAGGAGGCCGAGCGCCGCGGGAAGGGCCCGGGGCTGAGCAGGGCACGCGGACTCGCGGCCACCGCCTCCCCACCTCCCTCTGCCTTCGGCCCGCCCCGCCTCCCGGCCGGACCGACGACACGCACAGCCAATCAGCGCACCGGGAGCTCGGGGTGTGAGGCGCGCGTCGGGAGCCTCGAATCGGAAGGGAGACGTCGCTCGCTGATTGGTCCCGCCTCTCCCGTCGAGCGTGAGGCGAGGCAAAGCGAGGCGCGGCCGGGTGGGGTGGGACGCTCGGGGTTTCTCCAGAGTTGGTCCCGGCGTGCTCCCTCAGGGCTCGGGGAGAGGCGGGAAAGGCCAGTAGCCTGCCGCGCTGGGAAGAGGACGCCCGACGACCACACGGGACTCTCTCGGCCCCTGCCAGCGCCACTGGGTGGGGCTTATTGGGGTCGCCGCCTCGACCTTCGTGAAGCCGAAAACAGACAAGTGCTCAGTCCGGGGAGGTTCCGGGACCGCCCGCAGAACAGGACGCGCCTGGAGCTCAAAAGGCTCCAGAGCTCTGGGTGCGGGAATCTGCTGGGCGTGTTCTATGTAAATGAGGGGGCGGGATGTAAATGAGGCTGGTTTGGGGTGCGGTGAAAGGGTAGGGAAATGCCAGGTATATAACCTAACCTGCATCTTGGGCGCTACCCCGAATAGTCACTGTGAAGGATGTGAGCACCTAGCAGTATAGACCTTAATTGCTGGTTTAACCCTTCTTTTCTCCACTTTCGACTATGTTCCTAGGCCCGTTGGCACAGTTCAACCTGCAGAAAGCGTCAAGGACTGAAACGGGATGGGGATAACCCTGTTTCTTTTGATGTTAAGGATTCTCAAACCCCTGCCAATGAAAGATTGAGCCGAATCATGTCAAATATTAAGCGCCTGCTATGTTAGGCAGAGCGTATCCTACAACCAAAGTTGAAAAGAAACTGAGTTTCGTACCAGTAGTTGGTGACAGAGACAAGACTAGAACAGGTTTCTTGGCAGCCTATCCAGCACTACTCCTTGGATTTACTTGGAGGTTCGAGTATGCTGCAGAGCATCGCCAGGAATACAAATCAGTAATTAGGAAATGCCAAATAAGAATTTTAAGGAGTAAGAGTTTTTAAGTGTACTGAAAGAGCCCAGCGGAGAGAGCCTTCGTATGGAACTTAGCAGATGCAGTATTTGTTATCTTGAGTCTTAAGGTTTTCTAAATGTCCTTTACAAACTTTATCTCTACCATGTCTCTTCAAACATGGAACTGCTCTCATGGGAAGGTTATGATTAATAGCATTAATGCTAGACCTAGATGAATTGTAGTTTTGAATACAGCCGTATTCAAAAACCGTGATCTTTGGCAAAGTGGAGTGCCCTTGCAATGTTGCCTACTGAAGTATAGTTTGTGATGATGAAATAAAATAATAAATGTTGAAAGAAGTAAAGCAGGGCTTTAAAATTAAAGTCAACAATACTTTGTTACACATACTGACACTGAGATAAACCTACTCAGCAGAAATTCATCCTTCAAAAGTTTGCTTCCAGAAACCACCAGAGTGGTTTCTTTTATACTCAGTTTAGAGCAGGCTTACTACTTTTTTTTTCTTTTTTAGATAGGGTCCCACTAAGGCATTAAGTTGCTAACTTCTCCAGGTTAGACCCAAACTTGTGATCCTCTAGCCAAAGTCTCCAAGAGTATATTAAAACTATATGCCACATGACTGGCTCTAATCAATCCTTATTCGCAAGTAATTTGTGAGGTGGACCTGAACCCAGCTGGTGGAGCTTCTGTTTCCACTTTCCAGAGCCACCAGGAAAAGATGATCTAGACTAGGGCAAAAGCTATTCAACTTAGGAGTAGGAAGCCTGGTCCTCACTCTTGGTCTTCCTTGCTGACACAAGTCAAATCTTCAGTATAAAATGGCCTATTAAGAACTACGTTGAGTCACACAAATACTTTCTCCCATGTGAACAGGGTATGGAGTTGGAATGCTCACCTAGCTAATGAGAGTGGGAACAAAAGCAGGGCTGGATGAGATTCCGGAAGAATGTGCCTCTGGTGTGGAAATGAGTTCCTTTGAATCTGTAACTCTGTTTAAGAAACCTCCCAAGATCTAGAGGATTCAAAAAGAGGAAGAAGGGCAGCCTGGCTACTAATGCAGTCTCTATGAGGAATAGAAGTGGGAGCATGCCTACTGCCCCTTCAGTTTGAAATGTGTCTAAACCAAAGTGGGTCAAGACAGAAACTGAAGGCATATAGAGCAGGGATTGTCATGGCAACAATCAGCTTGGAAATCCACTAGGGTACCTGAAGATCTATCAGTGGCTCCCTATTGTATAAACTATTGAGTCTGACTTTTTATATGGATGCCCAGCAAATTTTAACCCTTTATTACTCATGCCACTGCAAAATCAAACCTTAGTTCTAAATCTACTTATACGTACTTAAATTTGCTGATAGATGCATAAGAAAATTGGTGCTGTAAAGAGCCTAAGGGTCACACGTATGTAAGTTACATTTCATCAATTCTGCAGTATGAATTTTTGAAAAATATACCCGTTTTGATTTTTTTTTTCTAAAGATGATAATATAAAGCTCATCTCCTGTCTGGTAAATATATGTAAATCCCTTCCTGGCTATCTTAGCCCAAGCTGTATCACTCACCTGTAAACTTTTTCTCTTATGATTGGAATGATACACATAGGATGACTTTGCTTGGGTTTGTTTTTTAATCCATTTTAGTCCTGTGCACTTTAACTTCTCATGTGAATATAACTTTATGTCCACATCTAAATTTCAGACTCCTGAAAACCAAGTGCAGCTTATTTTCATTTGCCTTCCCACACCTTTACCAAAATACTAAGTGACTGAAGAAGGTGAAATACAGCATCTGTATAATAGAAAAATTATATGTGTCACAGATCTGTAGCCATTCTATAAGTTTTGCCCCATTCAGTTTTTAGTTGTCCTTAGTATAACTGTTGGGTCTCTTGTCAACCTCCACACTATATCTGTTCATCCTAGAGGGACTAAATTTCAGTGTATGTTAGTATATTCTAAGGAGTAAAACATAACAGAAGAGAAAAAAATTGAGCAGGTGCTCACTAGATATAGTATCTGCCATGTGCCTACTTTGTAACAGTGTTAGTTGATCACAGTGGAAAGAGTCATTCTTTGGCCAGTGTCACTGAACGAAAATGAGGCTTACAGATACGGCTTTTTTTTAGAACTAAAGAGTGAAAGGGAAGTGAGTTGTGTTTAAAAGAAAACTAGCTAAGAAATAAGAAAGCTGTATTTCTCTTTTTTTGGCATATTTATATTTCTTGTCTACATTATTTAAAGGCATAAATGATCATTAGATTAGCTTATTATTAGCTGACTAATCCAATGACTGTACATGAATTACTCGGAAAATTACAATTTCAATGCAATAAGCATTCCCATAAAGGAATTTAAATATTATCTTAAATCTATATTATTTAGAGAAGAGACTAAGACTAATTTCTAAAACCTGAAAGAACAATATACAAATTGTTTAAAGGTCTGTTGTGAGGGAAGATAATATGGTAGTTGTAGGTCAATAATAGGGCTTTATGCCTTGATTATAATTGTCTGTGTATGACAATATTGACTGAGCCAGGCTGCTGCTGGGCAGGATAAGTGTATGAAGGTATAATACTCTTGGAAAATTTCAAACATATTAGCATAATTGCACTGATGAAGACTGGAGAGCTTATTTAACTAGCTGACTACAGTAGACAATGGATGCATAATCAGTGTCCTAATGATTGAATTAATGAGCCCCCACTGTTTGTCCTTACTATGAACAACTCTTAGCAATGAAAAAGACATTTTGCTGGAGAACTCTGACAATTGTGTTGGCTGATGAATGGCCAGAATTTAATTAATGGTGGAAAAGAGGCAATTATTATTGGGTCCTAAAGATGCCAATGGTGGACTTCAAAGGATAGATTATATGATACATAGGTTGTCGTGGTTTGAGATTGTTGCAAAGGGAACAATATAATACAAGACACATTTTATAATAGTATTTTATAGTGAATCACCCAAGAATCATACAAGAAGTGCAGAAATCTGTCCACCCATGTAAACACTAAAGACTCCAGCTGAGAGCCTAGATCCTAATATCCTGCATGAGTCCAGCTGACAGCCTAGAGCTCATAACAGTGCCTCCCACAAGTCCAACTGTAGGCCTAAAGCCCACAACGAAGTCTAATGAAGGTCCACTTCATGGATCTATGCTGGAAAGGCCCTAAGGTCAGTGGTGGATGCTGGGAAGTCTATGCCAGCAGGATGAAGGATCTGTGTTAGCAAGCTGAGGGATCTGAACTGAAGCTAGGAAGCAGTGCTCAAGGTAAGCACCAGAACTCACCCAAAAGTGCCACAGCCATCCTCAGCAACAGTGAGGTCCCAAGCTCCACTAGCAATGAAGAAAGCTGAGTTTCAGGAAATCCAGTGTGATAAGCTTCTTCGTGAGGCTGAGCAGTGCACCATCTTTCCCTCCAGAGCCAGGAAGCCATGCTCAAGATGAGAGTCAAAGTTCTTCCAGAGTTCATTGGGAAAGCCAGCATGACAAGGTCCTCTAGCAGAACAGCCCAAGAGAACTAGTGGTTTCCAGCAGCTTCATCAGCTTCTCCAAACAGCATCCCTAACAGCATTTTTGCAGCTTCTCCTGTTGTGCCTTTTATGCTGCTGCCAACAACCTTCAGGTTGGCTTCCCACACCCAGCACCACGCTCATTTAATTTAGCTGGGTGCAATAAGTTGAGCACCTGTTAGAAATCCATCACATAGATGATGTTTCACATTGACTCCTTTTTGTTTTATTATGGAGCCTTATTTTTAAATTTAAGGAAACAGGTCTAGGCTTCACTAAAGCCACTTTTGGTGGTAAGGATTATGCACATAACAGCCTCCTTTTCTGCTCTGACACTGTCCACTAACATCCCTCTGTCCCTGATCTGCGCTCGCCCCGTGTTGCAAAACACTATTCTGAAACTTTGCTACTTGTCAATTTCCCAGTTACCATTACTTTCCATGCATATATGCTCAACAGCTATTTCACAACAAAAATACGGGTAAATTTCCTACCCATACCAGAACTGCCAGAGATAAACAGATTTATCCATCTTCAGAGACTGCCATCTACTTGTGTGAAAGACTTACTCCTCCTTAAGAAGTCTGTCTTCTCACCCTTTGACAGACCACTCAGTCTAGATTAGCATACTACAATTCAGGTATATGCATACACATACACACCAGTCACACATTATGTTTTAAATTTTTGCTTTAAAACACTATCACAATCTAGAATTGTATCAATTTATGTATCATTTGTCACCCCTCAAACCATGTAAATTCTGAAAGAGCATGTGTCATGGTTTGGGGTTTTTGCAAGGGTAACAATACAATACAGGACATATAAGATTATTTTATAATAAACCAAAAAGAATTATACACAAAGAATGTAGGAAATCTGACCACTCACTGAGAACTAAAGAATCCAGCTAAGGGCCTGGATCCTAACATATTGTATGAATCCAGCTGAAAACCTAGAGCCCATAACAATGCCTCATGCAGGCCTGCTTCATGGATTTGTGCTGGGAAGGCCCAAAGGTCAGTGGTAACAGCTAGAAAGTCTGTGCCAGTGGGATGAGGTATCTGTATTAGCAAGCTGAGGGATATGCATTGGAGCCAGGAAGCAATGCTCAAAGTTAGCACCAGAGCTCCCCCAAAAGTTACCACAGCCATCCTCAGCAACAGCGAGGTCCTGAGCTCCTCTGACAGAAACAGCCAAGTTCATCAGAAAAGCCAACATGACAAGATCCTCCTGCAGAATAGCCCAGGAGAACCAGTGGCTTCCCTAACAGCCTAACAGCTTCTCCAGTTCTGCTTCTCATGCTGCTGGTGACAATCAGGTGGACCTCCCACAACCAGCACCACACCAGTTCAGCTGGGTGTAACAAATTAACCACCAGTTAGAAATACACTACAGCAGGAAACATGTCTGCTTTGCTCACCATGATACCTTTAAGCATGTCTATTTGGTCGACATAGTATTTTTAGTTGAAGCATACATGGTGGCACTCATTTTGAATGAATGGGTAATTTTTTCATGTTTCACACTGTAAAACTGAACCAATCATTTCTGCTACTTTCCTATGTTGGTTTGTTTATGTCAGCTTCCTAGAAAACTAAGCCTGAAGCAAGGATTAAGTGCTGGTGCTTTGTTTATAATTCCAGGGCATGGTAGTGAAGGAGAAGATAATGGAAAATAGGGGACAGTGTGTAGTTATGCACTAGTACACTAAACACTGCTCCAACGCAATCCTTGAAGGAATACAGCATCTCTTGGCAGGTGCTCCTCTTCACCGTGACATGCATCTTCACATATGCACTAAGGAGAAATCATACCAAGGAACAATCTGTAGAAGGAAGGAACTTCCTTCATTTCTCAGTTGTGTTATCCATGCTCTTTGATACTCACTTGGAAAGTGATGTCTTCTGCCCTGGAATTCATAAGTTGTGGGAGGAAACTATGAGCATGTGACTAGTTGGCTGGCTTCAGGCAGACATGAAGGACATAACTAAGTCTCATGGTGGCAACTGAGAACAGGATG